CTGGAGGAGGAATTCTGGGAGTTGAAGTCCACAAGTCTTAAACTTGCCAAGTTTGAAGACCCTTGGACTAGAGAAATGTCTCCAGTTGGGACGATGGTTGATTGGACCATGTGACGGACTGGTGGGTGCAGGGGATGGGTTTTGATTTTCAATTGGGAAGGGAAAACCCAGAATTCGGGTATTCCCAGATGTGCCAATAGAACCTTCTTCAATAAATTCTTACTTGGATGAACTTTGTTTCTGAGTGCTGAATGAGAATGGGGAGTTTCATTGGAAGGCTGACACCTTGGTTATCTCCTTCCATAGCCAGCCCCTGGTTGACGTCACTCAGAAGCCCAACAGCACCCACTTGGACCAATATCTCTATCGTTTCCGGACCACCAACCTCAATCAGATGGTCCAGGCGGCCTTGAAGATGAAGCACGAAGACTCTGACCTTCAGATGGTTTTGGATCAGGCCGAAGATTGGCTCTCTCGATTAAAATCCATGGTGGAGGAGGTAGATGTAGTTATCAGCATGCAAAAGGAGATTGAGCTCTTCTGAACCACTGAGCCATTTTTTTATGTCTAGGGAAAGACCAAAGGGGTCCCTATTTTTCTACTTGCATTTTTTACATGTTTTCGAACTGCTAGGTTGGCAGAAGCTGGGACAAGTAACAGGAGCTCACTCCGTGACGCGGTGCTGGGGATTCGAACCGCCAAAATGCCAACATTTTGATCGACAAGCTCAGGGTCTTAGCCACTGAGCCACTGCATCCCACTATGTATGTATAGATAGTGCTAAAAACTCACAATCTTGTGAGATCACGTTATTAGTTGTCCAGGGCCAGATGCAGCCTGTGTGTCACAGGTTGGACACACCTGTTGTAAATTCATGTTGAATTCCATTTATTCACTACAGTCCACACACAGCTTTGTGAACCCTCTCGCTGTCCTCTGAAGTTTTAGCCAACCCTCCCAGCTGTGGGTCACCTGCACCTTGAGGAGTGGTCCTTCAGCCTCCCCATCCAAGTCATGGCTAAGACCAACACAAGATCCAAGAGAGCCCCCATGGCCCTCCCCTCCATTCTTCCTTCCAAACCAGGGTGGAGAACATTTGGTTGCACTCCTCGTGTGTTGCCATGCAGCCAACCGAGAGTCCAATCAAATGTGGCATCATCTAACCCAGGAAGTCAGCAACCCGCGGCTCTGGAGCCACACGTGGCTCTTTCATCCCTCTGCTGCAGCTCTAAATATGTGTCACAACTGCCAATGTGTGTGACACCTTCCGGCATGTGATTTATTGAGCTTTTCGACTCCCGGTAGGCCAACCCTGAGTAAATCCAAGAAAAGAAAAGTTTCAGAAGAAAACAGAAGGTTTCATTCAACTAACATATGCTAGTTTTTGTGGCCACTCAGGAAATAGACAGGCATGGGAAAAGTTTTGTGGCTCCCGGTGTTTTCTTTTCTATGGGAAACAGGTTCCAATGGCTCTTTGAGTGTTTAAGGTTGCCGATCCTTGGTCTAACCCAACTTTTACCATTTTATGAAGGAGATTCTTTCGACTAAGGTTTTTAGTGAGGCCCAGATCTACTCTGTTCTTTGATCTACTCACAGGTAGGCTTCCTCTGGCCAAAGAGGACCTTTTCCTAAAGTCTGTTAACCCTTTTCCTTGCCAGCCCCAGAACAGCCTCCCGGATGTCGTGATCTGGATGCTCCAAGGTGACCGGCGGGTGGCTTACGCCCGGCTGCCTGCCCGAGAAGTCCTGTTCTCCCGCAACGGAGCCAACTGCTGTGGCAAAAACTGTGGAAGGCTCCAGACCATATTCTTAAAAGTAAGTTTCCTCAGGGCTGGGTGGGATTTGGACTTTTTGACCGGGGTTGGTGAGGGTGGGGAGGATACATGGGATAAAATGGTCAGGAGTACTTTCAAGTCAAGCAACACCTCTTCTTTGGGGAGCTGTGGTCTTCAAATGGTTCTGGGCAAATGATTTGGGGCAATCTAAACGCATAACACTGAATGGAGTCAGGAGACTGTTCTTGGCTTGTTTGATATTGATTGATTGATTGATTGATTGATTCATCCATTTGCTGCCCTTCTCACTGTTTTAGGTTCTGGTTGCCCTGATGAGTGCTCCTGGCACCAGCATGGTATATATAAGTAGACCTCTATAAAAATGCAAGATCTTTAGGCCCAATTCAACCATCCAAAATTTCAATTCTCCCATTCCTCCCACTGCCCTGAAATGACCTCCTGGTGATAGTCCTTTCAGCCTGTCCTATTGACTTAGTTGGTTTGATCGCCTGAAAGAAGAATTAGAATCAGAATCAGAGCTGGAAGGGAGGTCATCTAGTCCAATCCCCTATTCAAGCAGGAGACCCTATAGCATTTCTGACAAATGGGCTGTCCAACTTCTTAAAAACCTCCAGCGTTGGAGCAGCCACAACTTCTGGTGGCAAGTTGTTCCACGGGTTAATTGTTCTCACTGTTAGGCAGTTTTTCATTAGTTCCCGGTTGCTTCTCTCTTTGATCTGTTTCCATCGATTGTTTCTTCTCCTGCCTTCTGGTGCTTTGGAGAATAGCTTGACTCCCTCTTCTCTGGGGCAGCCCCTGAGATGTGCCTTCTGAAGCCCTGCCAGGCTGCTGACCACCTATAGCTCTGAGCCTTCTTCCTTTGCCCCACCCTAGTGTCCGCAGGAAGAGGTGGCAGGTCCCAGGATCCCAGCTCAGATCCGGGTCCGGCTGTGGCTGGGGCTAGCAGTGGACGAGAAGGAGTTCAACCAGACGGCCGAAGGGAGGCTGTCTGTCTTTGCTGAAACGGTGAGCCAGATCTGATCTTCTCTAATGGGGTTGGATGGGGAACGGGATTGCTGGTTCTGCCATTCAAGGGGGGAAGAGTGGATACCCCTTTGCATTGGAACCAGAACTGGGCAGAGGCCTTTCCATTCAGGACTGGGAAAGGGCTTGAAGATTCATTTCCTGTTGCTCCGACTCTACTTTATGCTTCTATCCTGGAGAGAGAAAGTAGTAGTAGTAGTAGTAGTAGTAGTAGTAGTAGTTCTTCTTCTTCTTCTTCTCCTCCTCCTCCTCCTCCTCCTCCTCCTC